TTGATAAATGGAATATTTGCTTCGAATAATTGCGGTCGTTTGAATCCGAGTAGATCCCTTTAATCTAAGGTTAAAATTAGACCTGTAATTTTAGCGGTTGGAACCTTCAGAATAGAACAACAAAGCACTCGATACAAAACTAAATTCCTCTAGGATGCCATCATTTTTGTTGACTTTAATGACTTAGGAATTCATCTGTTACTATGCTAAGCCTTGCTATACACCACTCAAACCGCCAATATTATAATTGCGAAAGAGGCCTGAACTGGTGATTTAATTTTCGTAACAGATTACTTTAATCATATAGCTCTACCATATTCAGAAGGTATAGTCTGCTGGTTAGTGCTAGTTTCAAAATGGATAAAGGATTCGTTGCTAGAGTCATTTTTGACGAGAAGAAAACTTTAGTTTCAAATTTCCAATGGCTTGTTGCAATTTAGCCAGTTGACATATTTTCTATTTATCTCGAACCACCTCAAGCTCCGAATGGGGAGCTTAGATGTGGTTATACTCCGATTAGATGCCTAGCCTCCATGTTGGTGAGATAGGTTCAATTTCTACTATATAACAGGTAATGATAATGAACTTGCTACTGCAGAAGTAGTGGCTGATTTAGATATATATATCTTGATTCTACGAAAGCCTCTGCTATTGAACCATTTTTTTGAATCCCACTGTTAAATCATGGAAACCACATATTAGAATAGAAAAGATGGGATATTAGTGAATGGGCTATCCATGAAGTCGAGACTTGAATAGGAAATAAATGGTAACTATCAGTGCGTTAGCCGCCGTTGCTTTAATACCATCTGTATCCATCAGAGTGCCTGAATAATAAGTACAGCCTCAGGCCTACAGGAGTATGTGGCCCGACACTCCAATTCATGTGACTAAAAGTTGATCTAATATCTCTGCTATACAAATTGCACCTGATCCTCATGGGAATCATCATATGGATCGATTTGGGTCATTCTCAGGCTTGTCATTTTTTCTGTAGTGAAAGCTCATTCTAGGTTTCTCGCATTCATGGTACCTGGTGACCTGAGTAAATTTCATGCAAAGGTTCGAGAATACCAGTAAGTTATAAGTGCCACAGATATGCCGAATTTGAGCTCGTTATTGATTACTCAATCCTTCATGAATTTTCGGAATTTTGACTGATGCTTCACACATTGATCAGGCTTGCTCTTTAGTTGAAAAATCCAATGTACTCTTAGTGGCTCTATCTGTGCCGGACTTGAAATTAAAGGAGTTTGTGACAAGTGCGCCGGTGTGAAATGTCTGATTTGATTCGAGCCCTGCTAATTTTCAGGTTCGATGTCCAAAATGATTCATCACAATTGACAGGATGTGTGTGATAGATAGCAACGTATCATTTTTGACAACAGACGAGATGAAAATCAATGTATTCATGACGATAGATGAACATCTGTCGATCAGATAAGGCTTTTCTTAGCGTTTTAAGGTGCAAGCAGGAGGGCAAGACTGAGCACCTGTACGCGGTGTCCTCTACGAACCTGGGAGTGAAATATTCTTCCAGAGCCAAGTTCAGTCAAATTTCGCAATATCAAAGAAGTTGGCCCACGAGGCAAAATTTCAAATTACTCCACCATGTCAATCTTTCACTCCCAAAGAGTCCGATTCTCAACTAAGCTTCATCAAGTCTACAAGTACGACCTAGTACATCCTCATTCCAATGATCACACCTCTCGTCGACTTTCTCTGGCCTCAGTTGACCACCAAATACACGCCCACGCCGATATTTATACTCGACGGAGGACACAAAGCGTGGCGCACAAATCTGGGAGACAGTTCTTTGGGAATGGCGTGAGAGGATTCAGGACAAGTTATCAAAATGATGCGAAGGATGGATACAGTCTCGACGGGCGTGGAATTTCGAATGTGGGCAAGGAGTTTTTACAAATTGAGCTTTGTGCGTGCCAAGACCTCGGCTGCGAGAGTGCAAGCGACACTATAAACGTCGCCATGGTTGGATGGTGCGGTGATACATCGTCTGGGCCGGTCTGCCAAGTAGAGTCTGGATAGCTTGGACACATATCCCACCCGAGACGGTAGATCGCTGGTTCAAATCTGGCAAAACACAACCACATTTCTCGCGGCGCTGGTATGCATGGATGACGAAGGCATGCTTGGATAACCAAAGGTTTTGAAATTCCCTTTGGTGGGTACTTACGAAGGAGGGTCGACTGTTTGAGTAAGCGAACATACCTCATAGTGGTATTTGCAAATGAAATCAAAAGTATGAGTGTCTCTAACGTCGAAAGAGTCATCCCACATGTATACGTAGCATCGGTCATGTGTCATAGCTAGATAGCTGAATACACATTAAATGATTTAAAAAAAAAAGGTGCAAGCAAAATCAGATGCCCATACAAAGAGGCCAGCTTGTCGCTCACGCTGCTATGAAGCAGATTGCCAAGAAGTTGGCTGCAGTTGCTCGGGGCGACAGTTGGAATCAGAATTTCTGGTGTAAAAATAAATGTTAAAAAGCTTGAATAAGCAAGCACCATAGATCGCAAGCATACACTGATCATCCCGATCTCAAGCTCAAGCAGTCCAATTTTGGATGTATTGTAACTATCATTGTCCTTTCTTAGTCTTCAGCAACATAGGGCATGTATTTCTTTGCCTACAAGCCAAGGATTCCTTTGCTAGTAGTATATCCCCTCCTATACCTCTCATACGGCTCCCCTCAAACAGTATCACTCCTCAGAAGTCCTCATTCGATCATACACTTAGAGGAGCCCTTTGCCCTTCATTATCTCCCCTCTCCAGCCAACGAAACGATGGCCATTTGCGGGTGTATGACAGCCGGGAAAAATCGCAAAAACCACTGGGTGCGGGGCTCTTCTAATACCGACATTAGGACTAATTCCGGAGACATAGTGACCCTTTTGAAGCGTTCGAAGAGGCCGGCCAGCTGGGCGCTGCAGACTTGTGGGTACCTCGGAGAATTCACTCTCTGCCTTTCTAGCCTCCTTCCAACTTCTTCCCGAAGGTCGTGCTGAAATGTCAGAAAAGTCTTGACAAAGCATGATTGCTGTATGGAAGCTTAGCTCAACTTCTTTTGTGCCGTTCATGGCGCTGGGGAGTGTCGCTGACTCATTGATAATTGAAGTCCTCATGGCTAATTTGCCAAAACCTTAGTCTTGGCGCCCACAAATGTTCCAAAGTTGAAAACCCCTCAGAAATGTCAGTCCCAGAAAAGTCTTCAGAGACCTGTTCCCCATCTCGCTCCACATCTCAGCCGCCTATCATTCCGCAAGATGTATAGCCCATTAGAGCATCAGTCTTCCATAAAATAAGACCCATCATTTGTGTATTACGACTTAATTTTCTCCTTGCGGGTATACGTAGCGTCGTAAATTTTTTGTGAGTGATAGCCGGTAGCGGGTGAGGCAAGCTCCTGTTTGCAGTTGAAGCAACTTCTTTATTGGTCGTTGAGGTGAGATGATGCTTGGTTAGAAAGAGGTTGAGGACTCAGAATATAATGGTGAGTGCTGCATGATTGAGAAGTGGTCAAATGGAGATATGCTTGAGGTTGCTTTCTACCTCGATTCGGATGCGATTCTTCTTGGCTATGCCAGATATGCAGAGCATACTGAGCGATTACACCGGCACCACTGGAAGGTGAAGAATTCGTCTTCACCGGCTACGCGACAAGTAAATGCAAAGGCAACCGGCCGTGCTAATATCATCATCTGTTGATGCCTGCCGGCAAATCCAACATCTAGCTATATATGTCGGGCTTACATGAGCCAGCGAAATAACTATTATCCAATCTTTCGCAGCTGGTTGGATGGGGTGAAGAGCAACAACTGCTGGCCTAGGATTTTTTAATTTCTGCCTTGAGGGTACGAGCCTTGCATTTAATTTGATGTGACTCGGATAGTTGATCCCGGAAGACTTAATACGAACAAGATGATCAATTCAAACCGAACTAGGAGTAAAATCAAGAAAACGTTATAAATTATTCAATTGTCCTGATTTGGCGCCTTGATCCCATGCAGCTTTTTATCGGAAGACATGTACTATCAGTAGGATGACTCAATTTGACGTTTAGAACACTCACACTCAGATTTCATTTGCAGATAAAACTCGAGGTTAACCCTTGCGGCGTACAACCTCTTCCGTGCATACCCACCACAGGGAAAAGCGTGAAAAATCTGTGGCTATCTGAGTGTGCTTTTATCATCCTACAATTACAATATCACCGCGGGAGAGAGTGTGGTCTGTGGGTTTTACTGGACTCGAACCAGCTCTCTCCTGTCTTAAATGGTGGTGTATTGTCGGGTTTGAGCAGTCCTTCATAGTCATAGACTGGGGGGCTTAAATTTAATTCTATTCTATATTGATTATGTTTGATGGTTAAATCTAAAAATCATGCAATGAATGACCGTACTAGCTACTCATATTTTTGCCCTATGAGAGTCTCGGTGCTTATCAAGCTTTCACTAGACTACATTTTATACACCACCTAAATTTCTACCGTCCTATGTTGAACAATTATGCGAGCTATCGCGTTATCTATGAGCCAATTCCTCAGAACTCCTGAAATTTTTGAACAAGAGAACGATCCAAGTTGTCAATGCATGTGAAAGTTCAAGAAAACTATCAGCATAACGGCTTACCAAGTATTTTTGATACCAATCTTTCACATATTGTCGTATAGCAGAACTCCATCGCCCTAATATCAACGCTACATGAAAATTTCCGTGACGCCCTTGTACCCAAATTTCGTTCACAACGTTATAAACCCTAGAGAAATAAGTGGGCTACAAAATTGGAAAGATTCTAGAAAACGTAAAGATCGGCATTGAATATTTTGTATTTATGGTTTCAGAGACGCCATATATGTGAGTTTATCGAGTCCCGATTTTGTTTCATAATTTAGATGACTATCGCTCATGGTGTGCTAATGAGCTAGAAATTATGAGTCTTGAAGTCTTTGTCGCTACTCTAATCTTGATTGGATAAACCTAATCATCCTGGCTTGAGGTTTGATTTGAGAGGAGGAACTTAATGATTCCAAACTTCTGCTCGACATTAAATTCCCCTTGCTCCTTCCAAAAGTCATCAGTATATGTGAAAAGGACGGAAGAATTCCCGGCATATTTTTTGATACTTTTCACTGCTTTTGCTTGTTCTGAAACTCCTGGGCAAGCCTTTCCATTGCAATCTCCCGCTGATGGCCATCCACACTCGAGATTCACCCCACGCTTACCTGGGCAAATTTGATCGACAATCTCGAGTTGACTCTTGACGAACTGTCCTGACTTGGGTGCGTCGACTTGAGAATTAAAAAACGGATGAATATTGCAGCCGACGACATCGATAACATCGCAGAGAGTTTTGAAGTTGGATTCCCAGATATTAAGAGGTTCAGCAGTAGTACAAGGTCCCTTGTACCCGGCGGCACGAAAAGAAGATTTTGTGGAGCGAATAAAACCAGCGAGCTCTTGGGGGGTTGTATGCTTATTAAAAAGTGCCTCATTTCCAATGACAATCATGTCAACCAAATCCCACTGACCCCACTTCAAGATATCTTTGACTTGATCGGCAGCACCCGACACACCAGAGTCGTTAATAAATATACCGAGAATCAGTTTTAAGCCATTAGCTTTGGCTGCATTCCCCACATTTTCAAGCCCTGAGCAGTCAGTGCCGTAGATACGAATAGACTTGAAGCCAACACTACGAATCTTAGAAATGTCATCTTTGACGGTCTCTGCACTCTTACATCCCTTATCGTCTCTATATGGTGAGTATGCTATAGCCCAGAAACCAGAGTCGAGTTCTGGTGATTTAGGTTTACTAGTTTTAGGAATATTTGCTGGTGGCAGAAAAGATACCTTATCCTGCTCGGGTACCGTTAATTTTGGAACTTGTACTAGTGGCGTTTTGGGTTTCTCTATTTTTGGTGTTTTTGGTTGCTCTTTCTTGGGCTCTTCCAACTCTTCTGGTTCTTCTGGCTCTTCTGGTTCATCCATTTCTGGTTCTTCCGGCTCTTCTACCTGTTTTGGTTGCTCTATTTTTGGTGTCTTAGGTTTCTCTAGTATAGGTGTCTTAGGCTTTTCTAGTTTTGGTGTCATTGGATTCTCTAACATAGGCGTCTTCGGTTTCTCAAGTACGGGTTGTTTGGGTAAATTCGGCATAAGAATTGGAATTTGGGTCGTTGTAGACAGTGCAGAGGTGCTAGTGGTAGTTGGACATTCTGATGTGTATTCGGTTTCAGTGATGATGGTGAGCTCATCCGTAGTTGAAGGAGGTGTGGGCGCCGGTGTGTTGGGTGTTAAGGGATCAATTGTGAAGGTACCAGCAGACGGGCACTCAAAGATGGTTGTTAATTCAGTGTAAGTCTCCACCCCATCTTGGGTTATTACGGACGTGTATGGAATAGTAATGTTAGTGGCACTATCAACGGTGGTTACGATTCCACCCTGGATAGGCGCTGGAGTTATAGTCGGTGGTGGAATGAGAACTTTTCAGATCAGCATTGCAACATCCTGTGGCGAGATTATGGAATTTAAAACTTACGAACAGCCTCTCCTGTGATCGTGGTGTAAGTGGTTGTGCAGCCATCGAATGGTGGCAGAGCCGCAGTTCCAGTTGGAAATGGCTTTCGCTTCGCGTGGTTGAAGTAGTCCGGGTAGTGGGTTAGAGCTAGTGCTCCCGTCATAAATACTGCCACAGCAGCTATTTTAGATGACCTCATGAATACCGATTGGGGAAAGCCAAAATTTTACTCCTATGACCTGTGAGGAACAGATTCGGCAAAGAGCTTGGTAAAGTAGGCTAACTGAGAAAGCCGGCGCTCACAGGATAGGAAAGCAGGATTATCGAGTAAATGAGAGTGTTAATGAGAGAGTAAATGAGAGAGTAAATGAGAGAATAAATGAGAGAGAAGAACCAGAAATTTTTTTAGAACAGTGAGGCCTGCAACTCTTAAACGAAGAAGAATGAGTGGAAAGGATGAGAGGGGTGAGGGTGCTCACAGAATACACTTCGTTTTAGAGGGCTCTGTCGGGATAACATGCGGGGCGGCGCGGCAGGGCTGAGTGGCACCTGCGGGTTTGACAGGTGTGATTGTGCAAGATGCCGCAGCTAGTTTCACACTAGGGAGCGGTTGTTGCTGACTAGTCTCCGTGTCCAGATTAGCTCATTTACAATCTCGTTTTTCTGGAAATTAGTGGGGCCAGCCGTCGGGCATGACAGGGTAGGGTTTAATCCTGCAAAGGCCCCAGGAAAACCAGTTGGGAACTTATTACACTTTCCACCGACGTTGTCGCTCGAATCCCTCCACGTGCAACGTCTTCATGCCTACCGGCTCCATTGACTGTCACAATAATGATTAAGAGAATATCATCTCTACCATCCGTCATGCCCAGCTACCAGTCCTACTACTCGGCATCATCAATTTCTCAGATCCATTCACCCTGAAGATAGATTGTCCGTTGGAGGTGAATTTTAGATTAAAATTTCCTGCGCAATTTCAACACAACACCCAGACATAATACCCGATGCTACGGGTCTTGTATCGTAAACGTTATAAGAGCGCCGGTAAATAGGAAAAATAAGATGCGACCATATTAGTGTATTGACTGCTGAGATGAGAGCCTTCACATGTTAGTTGAGACCAAAGGTGAGTAGAGATAACGGTGACAAGGGCAATTTAAACTGCGTTGGCTATGTCAAAGCTGGACAGACTACTCATGCTCTTGTATGACACCACAAAGATCCGATGTGCCCCAAGTATTTGCCTCAAAATTACCATCAAACCCATTTTATTATTCAACTCTTCATGAGTTGTGTATGCTCGCAAAGTTTGGTAGCTATGGTGGCCACAAAATACACGTCCAGGTGAAAGGCGCCATCAATTCTACTTTCGATAAACGGTCACTCTCTAAAGAAATGTCGATTCTCCAATATAGTAAATAGTAAACGCGACAAAGGCCTAAGACAAAAGCTTCCTAAGCGCCAAGACTATGTATGACTCAACACTTGAGCAAAGTCAGGAGTAATCATGTCGCTCCTATGTCATTTGATGTGGATTCAGCTTTCCAGCTATTATACACGATTAGTGCTAGACGTACATATTGTATAGCTCTTTTGACTGAGTCGGCTAATTAATTTAATACATAGATCAAGTACTAGTGATAGTCAACCTAATTCGACTCGCGCCGTTCGTGTTGAAACCTTCTGAGTGCCGAGGGTGCTAATTGCCAGAAGTCTAGAGTTACTTATACGAACCTGGCCTACTGATGTTCCTTTATTAGTAGGAATAATCTCTTGAAATAAATCAGCCTCCTCTACATAATCTATTTATTTATGTCAAACAGACTAACCAAAATTCAAATATAGTATCACGATGTTGAAGTTGAGCAGTTTACAAGAGAGTAAACGAGGCTGATTCATCAAGGGCAAAGTTAAGTCATGCAAATACTAAAACTAGCGACTAGACGGATGGCTAATTCCCTACGCACAACTCCCTTATTGTTTCATTCCTTCCAGTGCCCACAATACCACAGCCAATTTTAGAACCATGCATGGAACGGAGATTTGAGCAGTTCGCATGGACAATATATGAGTCGGTCTATATTTGGAATAAGTAGAACACTTTTAAGATGTATATAGTACCTAGTTAGAGTCCTCATGGTGGAGGACAATAAATTCAATCAACTTTGCGAGAGATCCACATTAGTATAACTTTGCATAACAATTTATAATATTCAGTGTCATGCCCGCGCACAGCACGTGAGCTCCACACCTACTGTCTAGACGAGTCTAAATAAAACTATCCGACTTTTACGTCGGGTAGTTTATGTAGACTGAGCTGGCCAACACGAGACCTTAAGGTTGTGTTGTGAGCTAGCACGGCGTTAAATAATTATATAAAAACTATCCGACTTCTGCCATCTCGGTCGTCACCGGGCCCGACTCGGTGGACCCCGACGCCCTCCCACAAATGTCCCTTGGATTGTAGGCTCGAAAAATGGCGCATTTGCCTTCGGAAAAAAGGTGAACAGAACACTTTTTTTGGACCAGATTCAAAAACGCCACCAAACAACACACCTGTAACTGCAACTGCTGAGATGTCCTACAGCAGCCTCCCCCCGCTTTAGCCTGAACTATCCCAGTCTACAAAGGCTTTTTCCCTCGAAAACCATGTAGATGTATATTCTCTACTAGATAAACCTAAAGTGACTCAGTGGAGGGGCCCGCTTCTCTGTAAAATAATTGTAGAGTAAGGCGCTAGATAGCATGTTCTAGGCTTCACATAAAATGCTGGGCTCCCAAGGGCGCCAGCACGTCGGGTAACCTTTTCCTACGCTGAGCCAACCGCCACGTGACTGTACTGCGTGAAGACACGACGTTACGTAATATAAAAAAATTAAAACAACTATCCGCCATTGTCTTTTGATAAACGGGGGGCGTTGACGAAATTCTGCAAACTCCAACGAGTGCACTAGCTATTTTTTTACTGAAAGAAGAAACTCTGCGTGGACTTCACGCTGGACTGAAGGACTTATTTTACATCTACCTTTTTAAATATCTCTGAACGCTGCGCAATACACGTGAGTAATGTCACACTACTGTGCGAACTCGATACAACTGTTGGAAATGGAGACACAGGGTCTTGTAGACGTACGGGACCTCCCTTTCGTCTAGGTTACCGACACAATCTTGTGTGTATTTAAGAGTTGGAATGAGTAATATGGTAGTGCTTCAGGCTACGTATTGGAAATTAAGCCATATATTTAAACAAGCAAATTTTGGTAGCCTATTATCTAATTTTAGCAGTTCTTCATAGTCATAGAATCAGTAGCGACTTAAATTTAATTCTATTCTATTCTACGTATTGGGTATGTGAGCGGCTCTATGGCGTGAGCACAGGGAGGTTAGGGGGACTATTCTCAACACCTGTCAGTAGTGTCCCCTACGAACCTCCAGCTCTCACTGTCGAGTTTGCAGAGCCAAGATTGAGCAGCACCTTCGCCCTCACTTCGAAAAGGATTCCCAATTGCTTTCGCGGTCTGTATCGTCTTCATCTCTCAACACATTCCCCTATCACCATTATCATGAAGCTAACCACGATCAGATCAGATGGTAGGGTCGGAGCTCTACTCATCACCAACCCTTAATCATGGAGGAGAAGCCATCCGATGAGTTTCCGGAGCGTACCAAGCACCCGATACGGAGATGGCGGATTGGATCAAGTTGATCTCGACTGTTACAATGAAGGGAGATATAGATGAATATGCGCACCTCATGCGGTCCCGATGTCTTGGCCTCGCCTGGCTTCATCTCTATAGGTAGAAGGTTCTGATGAAAAGGTAGCTGAATTCCACAGATAAAAACTGAGCTGAATGGCTATTCATCAAAGGGAATATATCAATGATCTTACAAGTAACAAAAGAGGTAAGGAGCACTGTACAAGGTGTGGCCTGGGTCAGCGAGGAGCCTAATGTGCTAGATAGTCATAGACTCAAGTAGTACAATAAAAAAAACACACAAACTCACACAAATACACAAATATACACACACACAAGGAAGTTATTGGGGGGTTTCTATGCCTAGATGGCGCCACACTCGTTTATGCTGTGGCTTAGGCTCTGTGTCGCTTACAATTTTACCATTTTTTGTTTTTTTGCATCAGATTATAATTGCGTATGCAGCTACCTAGCTATAACACGATATCAAAGAAAAGTACAGAATGAATTATTCAACGTGAAGGAAGAGCACTCATGCCTCAGATATTATTTGCAAGTACCGCTGTGAAGATGAAGAAGAATGAAGGTTTATTCGTGACGGGCACAAGCCCTGCACTCAAAGAGCATGACACGAAGAAGGCAAGTCCTTCGCCGACGGCTATATACGACAATAACTCAGTTTAACATTTGGACTACTCATGTAGTGGGTGCATTCGCTGATACCACTCGAGACCAAAGTACCACTGCGAAGTTATGGTGGCTTTTTTATTTCACCCGAAGTCAACCGTCATCCGTGAATACCCGCCCAGGGGAACGTCTCAAAAACCCTGAGGTATCCGGACATAACCCTATCATCCACTTACTTGTTTCCGCGCGAAATACGGTCCGAGGCGTCTCCATCCCAAGTGGAATAGGTGCCCAGGCTACTCAAACTATACCAGAGAACACCACCGGGAGGCGGACCACGGCACCTTCCATCGTCGGCTTGAAAGCTCAATTTGTAAAATTCCTTGGCAAAATTCGAAATTTCACGCCCTTCGAGGGTTTATCCTTCCTTTGCACCATATTGTGAACTTGTCCTGGTTCCTCTCACGTCTATACCATAGAACTATCTCCCAGATTTGTGCGCCACACTTTGCTTCCTCCGTCGGGTGTAAATATCGGCGTGGGCGTGTATTTGGTATTGAAAGGCTATGCTGAGCTCGAATGACGTACCGTTGGGATGAAGGTATGGAAGAAGGTAGCTATGGCTTTAAGAGAAGTAAAGTTCGTGAGTTATACTCTTAGGACTTGGATCAATGGACGAAATTGAGGATATTCCCTAGTATTCTCAAGTGTGTGAATAATATGGAGATTGTTTGAATTTCCAATTGTATGAATTGCTTTAATTTATCTACGCGACAGGACCTTCTATAAACATGAATAAGGGGGTTCTGCACACTAGTGGATGCTCTAACATCTGTCCTTGTCTAAGTGAGAAAGGAAGGATGTGAGAGATCCTAGC